AAAAAAAAAAGTTTAAAATAGCAGGTGGATTGTTTAACAGTATCAAAAATAACCAACACTTAATTTTATCTGTCACATTTGAAATTCTGTAAAATTATGTTTACCATAGATTTGTTTTAATAACTTAAGAGACCATACTGAAAGATCACAAGAAGGACAATCAACACTGATGTAGCCCCCCATAACACCTAGGTCCGTCAAGTAAAATAGAAGCCAATGAACTACGCAACCTTTAAGACATTACTTACCTTCAATAAGCATTCGGTTTCTTTGTTTTTTTTGTTTGTTTTTTTTTTCACTAGCTCCTTCCGAAATAGAAGCACGCGGAAAAAAAGCACAGCTCGCTTATCAAAGTGCTCTTAAATATGGAGCTGTTCATGTTTACCGTGGTCGAGTATTGCTTATTGGACAGGATCGGGCAGGAAAAACAAGTTTAAAGAAGTCTCTCATTGGTCTACCATTTAATCCAAAAGAAAAAAGCACTGATGGAATTGAAGTGGATCCTTCAAAATTTCAGTTAGACGTTGATGAAGACAGGAATTGGCAACCTATTGATGAGAGAAAACAAGGATTGCTGGGATGTTCGAGAGATGTGGCACAGATGGTGGTGGAAAAGATGTTTGATATTCCAGTTAGCCGTGCCTGGGTTCAGGAGGAGGAAAGAGGAGAAGCAATACTTCAGAGTGATGATAACAAGAATAGGAAACAGGTTGTTACTGATGGACAGAAGGAGGAAGTTTCTCTTGTGAACCAGGTTTGTCTTTGCTGGTTTTTGAAATGTGATGTTTTTTCGTGAATCCATCGTCACTGCAAGAATGTCCTAACAGTAGTTATTATAAATTGATTATCGCCTTCTTCATAAGTTAGGTTATAGTGACTTCCCTGCCCTTTGCCACAGTCTCCGTATGGAAAATATGTAACAACCGCTAGATCGTTTTCTAGATCGTTTTCCAATGCTGGTTATAAATTTTAACCAGCGTTTTTATACTTGTAAGTTTAGGTCCGAGAGTAGAATGATACTACTATCAACCATTTAGTTATATTTCCATGATTGTACCCATCTATACTTTCAACTTTCAACTTTATTTAAATTTGAAAATATAGCAAGAGATACATTGGGACAAGAGAATTACTTTTTCATTTTCACGATGATCGTATCCACATCAATATATGAGTCTTCAGTTTCAAGGAAATCGAGTAGCATTTCTTTTAGTGATCTTTTAAAAGCTTTTTTCGGTCTTATACACGTAAGCTTAGCCTTTGGGTCGATCAGTAGTGCGTGTGCAAACGAAAGTGAGTTTAGCCATATCTTTATTTATCTTTTTAAGTGTTAATGAGGCCTTGAGCATAGCTTTCCCTTATTTTGTTGTTGTTGTTAATCACAATTTCGCTGTTTTCTTTTTTTTTATGCGAGGAGTAAAGCCAAGGGGCTGTGAGGACTCAATCAAACACCTTTTTCCTATGCGTCCTTAAACTCACTGTTCCTTTAAAAATTCAGAGCATATTAATGCTGTGGATACCTCATGCCTCCAATAATCGTACCTCAATGTTTGAGCTTATTAAGAATTTTCTGTCATCAAAAACAACTTTAAATGGCTGAATAATCGAATCGGGGGGTGAAGAGGAATAATTAGGTGTTCATTATTCCATTATTCCAGCTGGAAAATTTTCTTTATGCCATCATTCCAGAAAAAAAAAGAACAAATTATTCCGTTGAAAACGTCTGCTTATGCCATTATTCCGCGCCACAAAATGGCATTATTCCATTCTTACCACAAAAAAATGCCGTTATTCTTACTCAACTATTCCTCTTCACCCCCAAAAATCGAACCAGCCATGTTAAGTCTTTCAGAATCAGAATCAACAGTTATTTTTTTCGTACTCTGCTACAGGTTGGTGATCCAAACGAAGACAGTGCTAGTGAACCCACATTGACAGGACCTGATCATGAATTAGTGGTTGATACTACTTCACCTGCGGAGGAGATCAAGGAACGAGCTGTAAGTTTGATAAAGTACATGCAAGGTGAAGGTGTTAGGCCTGAAGAATCTGTTCCCAGTATCGAACTGTGGGATTTTGCTGGACAACACCTGTATTATGCATCCCATCCTGTTTTTTTATCATCACGTGCGCTGTACATCTTGGTGTGCAACCTCAGCAAGTCACTGCATGACACAGCCAAACCCTGTGTGAGACGAGGATCTCGTAATGTTGATTTGGAAAACCCCAATGAAGAAACAAATCTTGAGAACTTGTTGTCTTGGCTGTCCACAGTGCATAGCGTCGCACAGATGAGAAGAGAAACCTGTGATGATGTAGAAAAAGAGGTGCCTCATTTGCGCCCCCCAGTGATCATTGTAGGAATGGGGTAGCTGTCAAGGGAAACTCTATTGTTTTCGAGACATATCCAAGACCCAGACGATAAAATTTCCCCGAGGTAAGTTACCTAGGGAAAAATCGGTCACACTTAAAAAATCAAGTTTCCCTAGGTAAACTCTCAACAAGTCGTGTTTACGTAGGTAAAAAGTCTGTAGTGTGACCGCAGCTAATTCGAGGAAATACGGTATTAATTTTATTGTTACTAAGTTCAGCATAAGGAGCCCGAACTGCATTAAGTTTTGCCAGGCGCCGGGCATTCAAAACCATACAGTTTGGCACTATCTTTGGTACTGTAGGCCCTTTGTTGATTTTAACAATCGAGAGCGTTTGCGGCCATTCACTCGGGTTGCGTCAATTAGGGTCAACCGTGTCACGATAGGATGGAACAATGGTCGGTGATTGAATAGCGGCGCTTATTGGTATTGGGGCGCTTGAATTGGAATGCCCGGGTGGGGGGTACTTCCTAGTAGTAGGCTAATGGGTATGTGCTGCTGGATTGACTATTGTGGGATTACATTTTTATATGAGTTATTGGAACGGGGTCGCTCATTTTCAGGATTTTGGGGGTCAGAAAATTCAGGTATGTAGGGATTTAAAAATAGAAAGATGTACACCACACCAAGTTTAACAAAAATGTGGCAGATCATTTCAGGATGTTCTAGTTAAAAGGCTTTAGAAGGGAGATGCATAAGCAGAAAGTCACTAAGTTGGGATTGCGAAAATTACTTTTTTCCAAAAGTGACTAAGATGGGGTCTATAATATCGCCACAGTATGGACTGTAATGGGGTCGGGGTTTTGAGAGGCCAGCGGCACATACCTAACAAAAATTAACCCATTAACCCCCCGGGTTGGAACGAGGGTGCTTATGCAACAGGGGTGCTAATTAGAGAGTGGGCGCTTATTGGAACGAAGTTAGTTCGTTGATGTTTAGAATAATTGTTTCTTTCAGAGGGACAGGCATTTCACATGAATGCAAACAACACTTATAATTCTGATGACGCAACACACAACACCAATTTGTACGCACCATTCATGGTGTTTTGAACATGCATGAAGACTTGAAGTAAGCGCAGTAAACAAAAAAAAAAGTTTAAAATAGCAGGTGGATTGTTTAACAGTATCAAAAATAACCAACACTTAATTTTATCTGTCACATTTGAAATTCTGTAAAATTATGTTTACCATAGATTTGTTTTAATAACTTAAGAGACCATACTGAAAGATCACAAGAAGGACAATCAACACTGATGTAGCCCCCCATAACACCTAGGTCCGTCAAGTAAAATAGAAGCCAATGAACTACGCAACCTTTAAGACATTACTTACCTTCAATAAGCATTCGGTTTCTTTGTTTTTTTTGTTTGTTTTTTTTTTCACTAGCTCCTTCCGAAATAGAAGCACGCGGAAAAAAAGCACAGCTCGCTTATCAAAGTGCTCTTAAATATGGAGCTGTTCATGTTTACCGTGGTCGAGTATTGCTTATTGGACAGGATCGGGCAGGAAAAACAAGTTTAAAGAAGTCTCTCATTGGTCTACCATTTAATCCAAAAGAAAAAAGCACTGATGGAATTGAAGTGGATCCTTCAAAATTTCAGTTAGACGTTGATGAAGACAGGAATTGGCAACCTATTGATGAGAGAAAACAAGGATTGCTGGGATGTTCGAGAGATGTGGCACAGATGGTGGTGGAAAAGATGTTTGATATTCCAGTTAGCCGTGCCTGGGTTCAGGAGGAGGAAAGAGGAGAAGCAATACTTCAGAGTGATGATAACAAGAATAGGAAACAGGTTGTTACTGATGGACAGAAGGAGGAAGTTTCTCTTGTGAACCAGGTTTGTCTTTGCTGGTTTTTGAAATGTGATGTTTTTTCGTGAATCCATCGTCACTGCAAGAATGTCCTAACAGTAGTTATTATAAATTGATTATCGCCTTCTTCATAAGTTAGGTTATAGTGACTTCCCTGCCCTTTGCCACAGTCTCCGTATGGAAAATATGTAACAACCGCTAGATCGTTTTCTAGATCGTTTTCCAATGCTGGTTATAAATTTTAACCAGCGTTTTTATACTTGTAAGTTTAGGTCCGAGAGTAGAATGATACTACTATCAACCATTTAGTTATATTTCCATGATTGTACCCATCTATACTTTCAACTTTCAACTTTATTTAAATTTGAAAATATAGCAAGAGATACATTGGGACAAGAGAATTACTTTTTCATTTTCACGATGATCGTATCCACATCAATATATGAGTCTTCAGTTTCAAGGAAATCGAGTAGCATTTCTTTTAGTGATCTTTTAAAAGCTTTTTTCGGTCTTATACACGTAAGCTTAGCCTTTGGGTCGATCAGTAGTGCGTGTGCAAACGAAAGTGAGTTTAGCCATATCTTTATTTATCTTTTTAAGTGTTAATGAGGCCTTGAGCATAGCTTTCCCTTATTTTGTTGTTGTTGTTAATCACAATTTCGCTGTTTTCTTTTTTTTTATGCGAGGAGTAAAGCCAAGGGGCTGTGAGGACTCAATCAAACACCTTTTTCCTATGCGTCCTTAAACTCACTGTTCCTTTAAAAATTCAGAGCATATTAATGCTGTGGATACCTCATGCCTCCAATAATCGTACCTCAATGTTTGAGCTTATTAAGAATTTTCTGTCATCAAAAACAACTTTAAATGGCTGAATAATCGAATCGGGGGGTGAAGAGGAATAATTAGGTGTTCATTATTCCATTATTCCAGCTGGAAAATTTTCTTTATGCCATCATTCCAGAAAAAAAAAGAACAAATTATTCCGTTGAAAACGTCTGCTTATGCCATTATTCCGCGCCACAAAATGGCATTATTCCATTCTTACCACAAAAAAATGCCGTTATTCTTACTCAACTATTCCTCTTCACCCCCAAAAATCGAACCAGCCATGTTAAGTCTTTCAGAATCAGAATCAACAGTTATTTTTTTCGTACTCTGCTACAGGTTGGTGATCCAAACGAAGACAGTGCTAGTGAACCCACATTGACAGGACCTGATCATGAATTAGTGGTTGATACTACTTCACCTGCGGAGGAGATCAAGGAACGAGCTGTAAGTTTGATAAAGTACATGCAAGGTGAAGGTGTTAGGCCTGAAGAATCTGTTCCCAGTATCGAACTGTGGGATTTTGCTGGACAACACCTGTATTATGCATCCCATCCTGTTTTTTTATCATCACGTGCGCTGTACATCTTGGTGTGCAACCTCAGCAAGTCACTGCATGACACAGCCAAACCCTGTGTGAGACGAGGATCTCGTAATGTTGATTTGGAAAACCCCAATGAAGAAACAAATCTTGAGAACTTGTTGTCTTGGCTGTCCACAGTGCATAGCGTCGCACAGATGAGAAGAGAAACCTGTGATGATGTAGAAAAAGAGGTGCCTCATTTGCGCCCCCCAGTGATCATTGTAGGAACCCATGCAGACAAACCATTTGAAGACATTAAAACAATGAAAACAGAAATCCGGAACGCAATTGCTGGTAAGGACTATGAAGGACATGTGGTGCGGACTATCTTTAGCATTGACAACACTGCGAAGTTACTTCAAAATAAGATCAGAAATGTTTTTAGGAAAGATGAAAACATTGATGACATCCGAGCTCTACGGGTCAAAATCATGGAAGTGCTAAGACAGGAGCCTTACATTGGGGAGAACATACCTGTGAGGTAAATAACGTTTATACAAGAACATAATTCCATTAAAATTAATAATAATTTCATCAGTAATTCATTGACTCTGACGTCATACTAAAGCGTGACCACAAACAGGTTGTTACGAAAACTAAGACCCTCGAAAACTAGGACCTAAAAGACCCGTCTTAGCTTTCGAGATTATACGAAAACTTACTTAAACGCCCTAAAATCGAATCCGTCGAAGTATGAAATTAAGTTAAAACCAAAGTTTAGGTATAATCTGTCAAATTATCTTCTGTTCGATCCTTTCCACGTAGTGTTAGGTGAAATTCAGTTGAACCTGAATTACATGGTTTCCTTACGTTAATCAACCAGATACTGTTCAGTTCTTATGACTGCTAGGAAATGACAGTTTTTCCACCTTAGTGAGGGGCTAGAATTCACCAGCCTTCAGGCCTTAAGCGGATATTTTGGCTGGGTGTTAGGAAAACTAAGACCCTCGAAAACTAAGACCAAAGACCCCCTAAAATCGAATCCGTCGAAGTATGAAGTCATATTATAACCGAAGTTAAGGTATAATCTGTCAAATTATCTTCTGTCCGATCCTTTCCACGGAGTTTTAGGTCAAATTCAGCGGTAAATTTAGGGTTCTTATTTTTCGTAGTTTCGAAAACAAAGACCCCTCGTACGTACATACATACATACATATTTATTAATCCTTAAATAAAAAAAAAAAACAGTATACAGGATGTTAAAAGGTCAAACGCAACAGACAGGAGTACATGTAAATACTACATACATACATAGTTTTCGTTATCACGAAAACTAGGACTCGCACAAAACCAATCCGTAAAATATGTATGAAGTCGGATTACGACCGTTCAAAGACTGTAATCCGTAAAACGTCTGAACACTCGATCCGCGTCTAATTTGCAGACATATCAGTATTCAGGCTTCAGGCTTGCGTTGCCTGAATATCTTCAAAATCGCTTTCGGAAACGTTACCCCGCTAGGGGGCGGGCACGAAGGGGTTCCTCGGGTAATGATTTTTTGGGTGGGTATGAGCTGCCCGGGTCTCCAAATTTGGACCTCGTTTTAAAAAGAATTTGCCTAAAAATGATACCCCGTTCTAGAATTTTAGTAAGTTTCCAAAGCCCTCCTGGCCCTTTTTTGAAAAAAAGAAACAAAGTTATTTCTATGTCTATTCGACTTAACCTTCGACTTCGACTCAAAATGCGCCGATTTCGTCTTTTTCTGTTTGGGGCGCGAAGCGCGAGTGCAGGGTAAACACGTTATTACGCGACAATTACATTACCACGGCCTACGACGCGCAACACAACAGTTTGCTTTTTTTATTATTTTGCGTTTTATGGCTGCTAGTAATTTGAAACTTTCATGAAAGGAAAAAATATGTATAACACCGTTCTAAATCTGGGACTTCCGAATCATTGCCTCGTTGAGAGGCACATACCCGTATAGCTATTTTGGGGGAGTGCCCCTCTTCCGCTGTCAAACGTTTGAAACCATTTTCCTTTCATTTAACGAGATTTATTCGCTGTCAAGTTAAAACAAGACAAATATGCTTTTACTAATGTCGAAAATAGGCTCTTTCACCGAAAATACCTCCTAATGCCCAAGCAGACTTCTGTTGACAAATGGCGCGCACAAGTTTCCGGGTCCTATGTTCAAATAAACCTTTTCAGTAAACTTTCAACATATATAGTAAATTGACAGCAGATTAGTAATGTATCAAACTTTAAATAGTGAAAATGCCAACCTTAGATTTTTAGCCTGTAACTCTCTCAGACTATTTCTCTGTGCCCCCACCCTACCCTTGTCTCCCTCGCAGCCGTTTTTGGGATGTCACGCAACGCCCCCCAAAAGATTTGGGAGAGCGTTGCGTGACATCCAAAAAACGGCTGCGAGGGAGACTAACCCTACCCCGAAACTCCCCTTAACTTTTCTCCCGCTTTCCGGTGATCTCCGGGGTGGCAACGATAAAAATAAACTCTCGGGAAAACGCCCTTTTTAAGAATGCCCTTTTGTGTGATGTTTAACCGATAACCCAATTGATAGACGAAAGCGATTTTGATAATATTCAGGTAACGCAATTAGGGTCGCAGCAACAACCCATCTACAGCGGAATGATTGTATCGATTTTGCCAAAATTATCGATAAATCGGGGTAAGGCATATTTTCAGTGTACAATTTATACATACGTATTCATCCTTATGTATGCCTGAATTTATATGTCTACAGATTAGAAGAAGCGGATCGAGCGAATGATAGTTTTCAGTAGTTTTACAGAATATAGTCTTTGAACGGTCGTAATCCGACTTCATATATATTTTACGGATTAGTTTTGTGGGGTCTTTCGTATCTTTATGAAACCATTTATTGAATATAACACTCCAAGAGATACAATCAGAATGAAATAAAATTGATTAAGCTATTCTTAAATGCTGTAATAAAATTTCCGTCATTCCAAAGTAATTTAATCAATCAATGTGTTCTATTTTCAACACTAAGTGTTAATTGTTAAATTCTATAATCTCGGTTAATCAGTTCATAACTCGATATGACAGGGTCCTTGTTTTCTTAATAACGAAACTACGAAATCTGAGACCCCTACATCTCCCGCTAAATTTAACCTAAACCTCCGTGGAAAGGATCGGACAGAATATAATTTGACAGATCATACCTATCTTCAGTTATAATTTGACTTCACACTTCGACGGATTTAATTTTAGCGGATTTTAGTTTTCGTAATCTGGAAAACTAAGGCGAATCTTAGGTCTTTGGTCTTAGTTTTCCTAACACCCGGCCAAAACATCCGCTTAAGGCCTAGAGGCTGGTTAATTGTAGTCTCTCACTCAGGTGGAAAAAGATATCATTTCCTGACAGTCATTAGACTGTTCACAGCCCCTTATTTTTCCGTTAAGACCGTCGAGATCGAAGACTTTGCGTTGAGGGCAGCTATCTAAGATGAGTGTCAAATCTACTTAGGAGGCGGGGAACGGAGCTATAATCCCCGACGCTCGCCCCCTGAGTATATTTGAAAATCAAGATGGCCACCTTAACGGTAAGATGCACTATATCTCGACGATCTCACGGAAAAATAGGGGACTGTGAACAGTCTCGGCAGTAATAAGAAATGAATTTCTGGTTGATTAAAATAAGTTAACCATGTAATGCAGGTTTGACTGGCCTGTAGAAATATTCTGCCCTAAAGTGTTTTGACAGAAAAAAATTAGGAATTAGCTTAGAAGCACTGTGTGGGTTTCATTGTCGTTCAAAAATTTAAAGTGTAGTAAACTTCACTCTCATGTGGTTTTCCAGAACATCCAGTTAAAGGTCCTTTTAATATAAAGGCAGACAGATCGATACAGTCATATACAGTCATTTCTCTTAACTGTGTATACGCGGGGGAAGGCGAGTCCTTAACATAGAGGGTTTGTAATGGCGAGCCGAGTTTGTTTCAGTTGTTTTTGCTGGGGGTTGAGCTGTTTGCATATCATCGAGATATCCGTAACAGCGAGATGTCCACAAGGCGAGAGTTGACTATAATTCGACCTTGATACTAAACAGTGAGTTCAACCAAGGGAAAATAAAAGCTCCTCTTTCCAGAGTTTTGTGAGGTTGGAGCCACCTTAATACAAGGCGACCACTTAACGCTAATATAGGCCTTTTGCAATAGTTGGTCACGTGATCAACCTTCTGTAAACACGGAAATAGTTCGCCTTTGGACAATTTTGATAGCAGGAACTGAAAGAGCATGTTAAAATTAAGTAAGCTGTAAATTTTCACCCGTATTTCTTAAAAGGGGCGATTGTAACGGCCGCCGAAAATAAGAAGGATTTGTATGAGAATTTCATTTCAGCAGTTCTTATATGATTTATTTCACATACATCTATCACAGAAAAACAGCTCTTGGCACCCAGTCACACTTGAATGGTTTTCCATACAAATCCTCGTAATTTCGACATTTTTGAACTGTCTTGAAGGCTTTCCCTTACGCATTTGAGATCTCCTGTTATGAATAAAAGGGAGATTTGAGCCCCATAATGCTTCAGGAAATATTTCATGTCAGTTTAAAAATTTCCAAATTTCCAAGGGTATATATATGGAAAACCACTCAAACGTCACTGGGTGGCAAGAGTTGCTTTTCCCTTCTAATTTTCGGCGGCTATTGCGATTGCTACTTTTGAGATATACGGCAGAAAATTGACAGGTTACCTAATTTTAATATGCTCTTTCAGTTCTTGCTGACAATATTTGAAAAAGCGAAATGTCTTCGTGCTTACAGAAAGTTGATCACGTGATCAACTAATTCAAAAGGCCTATTAACCCTTTAAGTCCCAATAGTGACCAACATCAATTTTCTCCTAACGATATCTATACAATTTCAGGAGATCAGGTTATGAGAATTAATAAAATGATCGCCTGAGAGAAAATGCTTTGATCTTTTATCAAATTCTCTCAACTCATTCCTCAAGAAAATGTATAGAGATCAGATTGGAGAATTTGAATGTGTATATTGGGGCTTAAAGGGTTAAACCAGCTGTTTTAGGTTAGCTTATTTAAGCTTATATTTATCTCATTTTTACTTTAGAAAGACCATAAACACTAACTAATGAAAAATCTTTAACTTTGCACATGGCCGCTAAACAAATTCCCAACGTCTTGGCGACTTTCGCAGTAACTTTAGTCGCCATTTTTTTTTCTTGCTATGGCTACCAAAAGTACCAAAATGGTCACAGCTCGGAGCGCTGTTGTTTAGTGGTGTTTAACGTCATTTTTTGAAACGTGTACTCTGTACTGTAGTCTGTACCGTGGTCAGTATACTGTGCAGTGACATGGATACTATTACGCGCGCTATTACGTTTCTCTTTCTTTTTATGAACTAGGTGGCTGAACTTTGAGAAAGTCATCAACGCTTTGCTTTCCAAGCCAGTTTATTACCTGAGTATAACGAAACTACGGACCCACGCCAAGGATAAGTGCTTCATCGATGACCATGAAGAGTTTACCACCATGGTGAATTTCTATCATGACCTCGGGATAATTATCAAGCACCGTCGCACAGTCATCTTGAGTACCCAGTGGCTGATAGACTTGTTCGGGCAGCTGATCACTATTCCAGATTTTGAGAAAATTGTAAGATATACATTATAAACTTGTTTTTAAACTATGGCAATGGTTGCAGAAGTATTTCCGGTCGTCACTTCTCTCCACTTTCTAGCTGCAGAGAAGCGACGACCAAAAATACGCCTTAATTTGTAGGCTATATCTATTGGTACATGTGACCGCTGAAATCATGGGTTCAACAAAATCCAATTATATTCATAATGAGGACGTACGTGTCATCTGAACAATAGTAACAATCTACCTTTAAAGGTGTGCAATGGAAGTAAGTAAAGGCAACTGTGAAATCAATAAAGATTGTCCCCCCAATGCTTCCCCTCTCACACAAGTCTTATACCGCATCACTTGGTGCCCACTAACAATAAGAGCTGTTCATAAGCAATTTACCTTTAATTGTCGTGATATGTGGTCTTAAAGGAACGTCTCAAAACAAAACAGAGTGGAAAGATACATACACGTCTGCTGAAACCAGCAACTCTTTATGTCGACCAATCAGAACGCACTTTCAGATTCTGGAAGTGAAATTTGGCCCGTAAGATGTTTCCGCTGAGTAAACCAAATGGAGGATGGTGGCATTTACGTGGCGCTTTAACGAGCATTCCAAAGATTTAAAATCTGAGGTCTGCTTAGAACGCTATGATCTTTTTTCGCCCCCGGAAAGGTTTATTAAGTTATGCTTTCTAGGCAGTCTTTCGTAACTACCATTTTACATGCGTCCTCACACAAATCCGCAAATTGCAAGAACAAACTTTTTTCTCGAATGCTTATTTAAAATGTTCTAAAAATACAGTCTAACCTCTCCTTACGGACACCTCTCCATTATGGACAGTTCGTTTGGTCCCAGAAATGCCAAAAATCTTACATTCCCTACCTCTATAATCCGGACACCTCTGTAAAGCGGACACTTGGTTCTGTCCTTTTGGTGTCCGTATTAAAGAGGTTTGAACGTAGCTTGTTTCTTTTAATAGACTTACCAAAAAATAATTAGTGTAATAATTTCGTAGTGTAAAATGGTCCTACAAGAAAGCTATTTTGAAAAGTTTTGTGATCATTCCTCGTGTTATTCCGTCTTAGGTCCCTAAGTTTGCAAAGCACTGGAAAGAAGTCGAAAAAAGCGGTGTTCTCAGCATGGAACTGCTTGATCATGTGNGATCATTCCTCGTGTTATTCCGTCTTAGGTCCCTAAGTTTGCAAAGCACTGGAAAGAAGTCGAAAAAAGCGGTGTTCTCAGCATGGAACTGCTTGATCATGTGTTTTCCAAATTTCTTCTGAAGGGCGTTGCCAGGAAAGACATTCTGGATTTGATGGAACAATTTGCTTTGATTGCTAAATTTCCATCTTCAAAGACAGGAGAAAAATATTTTGTTCCATCTCAACTCAAAGGGTCGCCTGATTCTCTTTGTTCCATGGCGCCCACAACCGTCGACCCTTGTCCCCTGTTTGTTTACTTCATCAGCGGCTCTGTTCCCCATGGTTTGTTCACTCGGCTTGTTTCTCGATCTGTCCATTGGTGTTCTGATGCTGGTCCTTCTCAGCCCCCTACCCTGTACCAAAATGGAGCGTGGTTTGTTATTGGGAAACAAACTGTCCATGATTTTGTTCTTATTTGTAAGAAGCAGTTTATTAAGTTCTTTATCACGCAAAGAAATCAGCAGATCTCTGTGGAAAGCACAAGTGAGATTGCGCTGCAGGTTCGTGAGTTTGTGGAGGCAACATTGCAAGCTTTGTCACGTGATCTCTATAAAGGTGGATTGCAGTATCATATTCGGGTCGCCTGTCCGTATTGTCAGCGGGAAAAGTGTTCAAGCCATGATCAGATTGCATGTTCTCATGAAGATTGTCTTCACCTCCTTGAGGTAAGACATGGCGAGCCTCTAATTTGCAAGGAGAAACCTGTGAAGGAGGTACTCACAGTTACGGGACACCAAAAGTGGTTCTCACAGATATCAACAAGGGTAGGTAGCAGTGAAATGCGATCTCTAGCAGTGCTGTTAGCATATATCAAGCGAATACACATACTACTAAAACTTATGTCCTTAAGAGGTAGCCATATATTCAAACTAAAAAGGCTTCAACAAAGTCTATGCATGTGCTTTGTTGGGTTATAGTATGATGTACAACATATGCCTTCATTTATCCTACCACGAGCTTCTCTGCAGTGTAAGAGAAGGCTTCGTTGCTGTCAACTTAGCGAACATTGGTACTTTATAATATCAAGTAAGTTGATAAGGTCAATTGGCTACCATGTATTACTAATTGTTATTGTCCTGTAGGCATAGCAGTGGGCATATAACCTTTTCTCAAGTCTTTTTTAATGTGATGTTTTGCTTTGCTGTTGAGCAATAAGTTTATAACATCTAACGTGTTAACAGGTAGAACCCCCCAGATGTAAAAATTTATATTTTAAAGTGTACAATTTTGGTTGCTATGCAGGAAGCGTGTACTCCATCATCATCACCTGATACTGCACAAGCTCGTCCAGATTGTCTGGTACTGAAAGTTACCCTTCTCGCGAATGAGTGGGGCTCGTCCAAGGGTGGCTTGTCAACAATAAACAGAACTCTTGCCATACATTTGGCAAAAGACCCACACGTAGAAGTAACCATTCTTGTACCTGAATTTGAGTGTGGCGAAGAGCATAAGAGAGCTGCCAAAAGTCACAACATTTCCATCCGGGAAGCAGAGCGCCTTCCTGCCTTCAGTGATCCTCTTGACTGGTTGAGTTTTCCACCAGATGACCTTGACATTCAGGTTGTGATCGGCCATGGAGCAAAGCTTGGTAGACAAGCACAGATTATAAGAAAGTCTCATTGCTGTAAGTGGGTGCAGATTGTTCACACTGAGCCTGAAGAGCTGGCGATGCATAAGAACTATCCAAGCGCCATTGCCAAGGGAGAAGGGAAGAACAGAGCTGAAGTTGAACTTTGTCAAATTGCAGATCTTGTTGTAGCTGTTGGACCCAAGTTGAAACACGCTATCTCGTCGCAATTGCGTTCATCTCGTCGAGAAATCTTTCAATTGATACCAGGTTCCTTTACAGAGTTTTCAGATGTTGAGCATTCTGAACAAGAGAATGTAAATTTCAAAGTGTTAACCTTCGGTCGCGGTGATTTTGAAGACTTTAGTCTTAAAGGATACGACATTGCCGCTCAATCTATAGCTCAATTGAAGGACAGTTCCTATAGTCTTGTTTTCGTTGGTGCATCCGATGGAAGGCAGGATGACGTCGCAGAAATCTTACTCCAGACTGGCATTTCAAAGAACCAGCTGATTGTTAACCAGCTGATTGTGAGATCATTTGTGAAAGACAAACAAAGATTGAGAGAATTGTTTTGTGAAGTCGACCTGGCCATTATGCCATCAAGAACTGAGGGGTTTGGTTTGACAGCATTGGAGGCCATGTCAGCCGGTCTTCCCATTCTAGTTAGCGGAAACTCCGGATTTGGAAAAGCACTGTGTGGTCTTCCAATGGGTGAATCATTTGTGATCGACTCTGATGACCCCAAGGAATGGGCAAAGGCAATTGCAGCCATCCGTCGAAAATCAAGGACACAGCGGCTTGAGGAAATCCAAAGACTGCGAAGAAGTTATGATGAAAGATTCTCTTGGAAGAGACAGTGCCAGGCCCTTGTTGCCAGAATGTGGAAGATGGTCTATGGTAAGAAATCAAATTTACCGATAGAAAAATAACGGTAGTAATAATAATTAATACCTGATGATTTTCAAATGCGTATCTTTTCAGTATTATCCTTCACTTGGTTTTCATAATTCATCGCTGTATGTCCATTGCTTCTGCTTTAGCGATTGAATAAATACATTTTTACTATATCATGTTTCGTGGTCCATGTGCATCCCTGCAGAAATATTTTTGTTAACTCCTTATCCTTAATGTTGGCATTCACATTCTCCACACTGTTCTTCTTAAATTTCTTGTGTTAATGATGAGGAGAATTTGTTTAACAATCAAGATTTTTTTTACCGGCTAATCAGTTCCATTTTTTAAAACTTTCATGTATAATTTTATAACATATTGGCTACAATTGAAAGAGTTAACGATAAATTGAAATTTTAAATCCATAAGATTGCGATACATCAAAGTCATCTGATTTCTATTCATGTCCAGCAGCAATGGTGGGTTGTCACAAAAAATGAAGGTTGGAATCGTTCATCTTTTTAAAGAGTGACATATTTTTCTGTAAATCATCTTTTTTTTTTAACTTAACAGGTCTTGAAAAAACCAAAGAAGATGACGTTCCACAGAACGACTGTGAAAAAGATGTTGCAATAGGACCGATAGAAGGTAATGTCATTGTTTGCTTTGTCAATTAAACCAAAGACAATTTATTTTTTGCAGTAGAGTGAGGTTATTTTCTTCTATTTTACCAGAGTACTTTCGATGTTTCGGGTGCTTTTAGCTTTTCAATGCTTAGTGCAGCATCTCCAAGTAAACTGACGTAAAATAATGTTTCCCTCTCCCGCTTACAGGCCAAACCATTTAAATTTACAGCTAATTTTAAACTTTTGCGGGTGTTGAAAAAAACCGAGAAGATGACGTTCTAAAGAATGATTTTGAGAAAGATGCTGCAACAGGACCGATGACAGGTGATGTCATTGTTTACTTTTCCAATTAAACCAAAGCCAAAATATATTTTTGCAGTAGAGTGAAGTTGCTTTGTTCTTTTAAAACCACAGTAATTTTTCTGAAATTGTCGACTGTTTTAAGCTTCAGACCAGTGCACTGTGCTGCACCTGTTTTATGGAACTCGCTGCCATTGACTATAAGAACAAGTAGCAGCCTCGCCATTTTTAAAAAGCACCTTAAAACATTTCTTTTGGGAAAGCTTGTAATCTACTAGAATGACTCTGAAGTTTAATGCTTTGAATATTTTCATTTTAATTTTGTATAGAATTTTAGACTTTTATTTTTTAGATTTTTGCATAGCATGGAATTTTTTTATTATTATTATGGTTATTATTAGCTTTTCAGGAATTTTTTTATTGTAACTAAATGTTAAGTGCTTCGGAATATTTTATAGTTCTAGCACTATACAAATTCTCTATCATTATCTTTACCACTATCTCCTATTAAACTGGCGTGAAATGACCTCTTCATGTATCTTATTTTGTCTTTTCATCTTCCGCTTACAGGTGAACCCATTTTCCTTGCACTTCAACAAATCCTGTTGGAAGCACGCATAGAGTCCAGCAAAACTGAGCTGTCGCAGGCTTTAAAGACGACTGCGTTGAACAAAGGCTTTGAGATTTCTGACAATCAAGGGGAGGGGAACTGCATGTTTTTTGCACTTTCAGAGCAGCTTGACCTCATCAAAGGAATTCAAATCTCCCATGATGAGTTACGCCGAACTGTTGTACAGCACCTTCGGGAAAACCCCAGGCTGGTAAGTACCTTATTACCTTATTAGAGTGCACACATTTGCAGTATACGCGAATAGCCGTGGCATTTGCCCGCTACATTGTTTTGATTTCTCTTAAAGTTAAAAAAAAATAAGGCCCTGTCCACACGTATCCGAAATACGGGTCCACACGAAGCGTATTGGAATCTTTTTCGCCCGACCACATAAAAGTGCTAAAATGATTGAAAAACGATAGCATCGATTTACAGAGCAAGTGTAATGTTGTATTCTAAAACCTCTGTATTCGTCCATCTCTCTCGTCTCCACTCCTGGCACCGTTTGTTAAAACCTGCGTTTTTGATGCCAGAAAATGCCGATCACGTGGTGGCGGAAGGCTAAAATGGACAAATCAATCTCCGATTTAAAAATATTATATCCGGATACGTGTGGACGTGGCCCTTAAATTCCTGCGATTAAATGTGACGGCCTTAAGGGTATGCTGCAAATGAATTTACCCTTTATGAGCAAAATAGCAGTTACAACCCTGGTCAAAACGTCTTGGTACACTTGAGAAAATTAGACACAAAGACGCACTTTGCTAAATTAACTCATATTCTACCCCTTAAAAAAGCTTGGGGATGTTGTTATAAGCGGCTATTTCTGCTGTCCCCCTCTCCCCCAAGCAGTGTTGATTGAATGCATAACGTCAACATTGTACCAAGGGGGAAGGGGGGAGGCAAGATGCCTCAATTTGACAAGCTATTGCGTTAGTGTCCCAAGAGTTTTGACCAGGGTTGTAGCTCTGCCCGAGCATCACGTTTTGCTTCTTCGTCCACTCAATCAATCAATCAATCAATCAATCAATCAATCAATCAATCAATCAATCAATCAATCAATCAATCAATCAATCAATCAATCAATCAATCAATCAATATTTATTCCTTCTAAGATAAAAAGACATATATCTTAAGTTACATCAGCAGTTGGGAGTCTAAAAATACATAAGACATACTGTATACAAATAATAGAAAGATCAAAGATTATATCTAAAAATAGGCCTATTTACAAAAACATTCTTAAATCTTTCAGTCTTTATATGCGGGCGATGAGCACTTTTGTTACTGAGTTGATACTTTGTTTCTTTCTTCTTCGGAATGATGTTACTAAGCGGGCAATCGGGATCCAGTGAACGTACCTTGAAAAGCTTCTAATCTGTCCTTTCTAAAAGTTCTCGAATGTCCATTCTCTTAAATGTGTGTTTCCTTTTGAAGCATCTATCCAGAAAGTTTTGTATGACTGTGAGATCTGAGTCTACAGCGCCATAAACAGGCAGACCATAAGTGAAATTCGGTAAAACTAAGGCGCTAAATAGGTGGTCTACTTCACCTTGACTGAAACCTTCCTTCCGTAAAGATCTTAATACAAACAGACACTTACTTGCCTTAATCAACTTAGAACGTACGTGTTCGCTATATTTACAATTCTCCTGAAACGTAACACTCAAAATGGGCAGCTCCGTGCATTGCGGAATGTTATTAACTTGCACAACATCCTGAATAAAACCTTTCTTGCGAAAAATAATTTCTTAACATTTCGACGGATTACAAATAATACTATTTTCCTTAGATCAAATTAAAAACTGATCCACCAAATCCGTACGACAGTGGCCATTACTCCAAATGGGTGCAATGAGAGTAGAGTCGTCCGCGTATTTAAACAGAGCTGGGTGATTATCTATGCTGATTTCCAGATCATTAATAAAAATACTAAATAAGTACAGACCACTCACACTGCCCTGTGTAGTGCCCCTGTTCACACATTTCCATGGTCCTTGAAAACTATTGTAAATAATGCACTGTTGACGATTCTCAAGAAAGCTTAAATACCAATTGATTATGAATGGATTTAATGGTACATCCTTAAGCTTATAAGACAAAAGTTCATGATTAACGCTGTCGAACGCTTTACTGAAATCCATGGTAAACAAACGCACGGCTTTACACTTAGGGTTATCTAGATAACAATAGACAGTGTGCTGTATACTGAGGAGCGCGTCTATACAGCTCCCCCCTGTCCTGTAGGCAAACTGAGTTGAGCTCAGATGTTGCTGCACGACTACGACGCAAAACTTCCTTATGTGACGTTTTGTGGAGGGCATCGAACACTCGACGGTCAATTATTGTTTTTGGGCTTAGACACAGTCACTAAGGGCTGAAATCCAAGAAAATTCGTCGACTTGTGTTAAATTAAGCAAGGCTATATAAGCACGATAAAGTTTGAGAGAACGCAAATTCTTTTCCTAAGTCATGCTTTGAGTCGAAGGCATAAATGGATACGGAGAAGTTTTTTTTAAATCGGTCTTTGTTGGCTCGATCATCATGCTCATGTCCTAATTTATTTTTTAATTGTACGGTACATTGCTAAACTTGAAATGTCGACCAACACAAGTTTCGTGTGAACAAGATATGACTGCATACTGGTTTAAAAGTAGCAATTTCCAAACTCACATTATTTTAATAGTAAAGATCCCTTCCGCTCTCTCTCTTACACGTGTAACGGACACCTCCCTAAAACCTCCTTAACCTTATCCACCTCCGTAAAAGTGTTGGTCACTGCCGTTCTTAACTGTATTTTTTTACATTTTTAAGGGGAGTAGTATAGGTCACACAGGTTAGACCCCTTTTTTAAAGTGGAATCTTATTACTGTGGAGTGGAATAAATTAACGTCGATGACATATTTATCTCAGCAATAAAATGCGGTGGAATCTCATCAAGATAACGTCACGAGCTATTTTTAAGTAGTATTCAGTATATCCATTTATTCTTATATTGATGATGTAACTTGCTGGGATCATGACCTTATTTTGTGAGAATGATGTCGTTGATCATTTCCAGTAATCGAAGACTTAGTTATGCGCACAGGATTATGGGATCGCCAGGGGGGGCAAACATTGCAAGTCGCTACAAAGAAATGTATGGCGTGGAGTCTTTGGACATAGAATGCCGCATTTTGCCATGATTTTATGAGAAGCGGACTAGACTAATGTTGGTGCGTTGAAATTGTAAGTTCTTGTGGGCTCGATGCGATGAATTCTATCGATAAACACTCCTTCTTGCGAAAAGGTGGAATGTGAAATTTACTGAATGGTCTCGAAATATATAGTACTAACTCAGGTATAATGAGCGGGGAATGCGGACTCGTTTAAGCCTTTCCAGTTGTAGCTTGTGCTGATATTTACAACGAGTGTAATTACGCTCAGCTCGGCGGCGATCACAGCGCTGTGCCGGTTTGTGACAAAGATCAGGTACATATAGAATTTGAAATGTACTAACTTT